TCCCGCCAAGGGCTCCTCCAGTGGGCCCAGGGCTCGGCTGTCCCCTCGCTGGCTGTTCTCCCCAGCACCCGTTCCTGGGTGGGCAGAGGGAAGGGGAATGGCCGTGATGTGGCTGAAGAAGCTAGTTTAGAGACTGCAGCCTCTTCCAGCCCCTGTGTGCGGCCATTTCCCACCATGTAAGGCCACGCTCCATGCCCACGTATTGGCCACCCTGGCACGGACACATGCCTGTCCCCACTCTCCACACCTGCCAGCTCCGGACTGGCACCAGTCAGCGGCATTTGGGCCCCGGCTGCTTCCCGCCCCCCTGCCAGCTCCGGACTGGCACCAGTCAGTGGCATTTGGGCCCCAGGCTGCTGTCTCAGTGCTGCATTCCCTGTGGAGACACGGTCCTGTGGGAGCAGGAGGAGATGTTACAGGGATGCAAACAAGATCCAGGGCTTCTCCTGCACCTGGGATGTTCCTGGATGAGGGGGCCGTGGCCTGACCTGTGCCCACCTGGGCACTGGGCTGGCACATCTGACTTGCCCTGAGCACCTCAGCCGCTGCCCGCTTCTCGTCCCACCTTTGGCTCTTCAGCACCTGGAAGAAGGGGCTGTGGGTCCATTGTCAGGATGCTGGATACCTCCAGGCACGACACAGCTGCAGGGACACATCCCCACCCCCCAGTCTCACCCCCCAGGCAGCCAGCCCCCAGCTCCTGCCCCCAGTGCCAGGGGGTCTTGACGCCAGGACAGAGCCCGGACCTCATCCAACTGGAGGGGGCCAGTGCCATCCTGGTCCTACCTGGTGGGCAGGGGTATTCCCCCACCTGCAGCTCCTGCAGGGCTCTCCGCAGCTGGGCCACGGCCATCTTCTGCCCCAGGAGGCCAGCCTCAGCCAGCAGCTCCATCCGCAGCCCCCGGATCTCCCTTCGACGCGCTCTGACCTCTTGTGCTGGGTCCCAGAGGGTGGCTGAGATCCTCTTGGCCAGCCCCTTCGCCCGCTTGGCCAGCCCCAGGGCGGCTCCTAGCTCTTACCCAGCGGGGCCTGGGAGAGGAGCACGC